TAGATTGGGGTTCGCCTTCCTATACACTTCTACGTGGTGATTGAGACAAATAGAAGATATTATCTCAAAACCATGTATCTCAAGTCTCCAAAACCATGTATCTCAAGTCCCCTGTATGTTACCCCAAATCTAAATGTTCCCCCGAGTGCTCTACCGTATGTGCTCTACCGTATGTTCTCCCGAGTGCTCCACTGTATGTTCTTCCGAGTGCTCCACTGTATGTTCTTCCGAGTGGTTAATATAGCAAATAAAAATTTTAATAAAATTTTTTTTGATGAATACTGCGAACGCTCGATTACTTGGTAATCTAAAATGTTAAAAAAAAGTTATAATCTATTTTGCGTTGGATTTGGTAGTGATCCTCTTGGATAACTACAAAGCGTTAGTTAAACAAACGTCTTTAATACAAAGTTTTTTCGACTAAGCCGATTTAAGGTATTTTTATTATTGCTTAAGGATTATAATCGTAATCATTATTTTATCTTGTGTCGAAGTATACATATGGTGCGAATCATCTAAAAACATTCAAAATCGCTGAGAATCTTGCTACAAACTCAAAACCAAAAATCGTAACTAAAACAAAAATCGTAACTTGTAGTTTTAAATAAGGTCTACAAAGTTATGAAGTTTTTTCATGAATTTTTGTTTATTCGTCGGAGTAGCAATGAATAATTAAAAAATAAAAAATTTTAATAACAAAAAAAAAAAGTCCTTAACAATGAACAGTTTATTAGCCAAATACTTTTTTTTGGTACAGAAAGTACAATATCTTATTCATGTCTTCTGCTGCCAAAGTCAGTGTTCTTCAATTCTTATTCATGAAGAGTTGACCATAACCGAATGTTCGTTTAGTGAACCACTGATTGATATTTAGATAAATATATTGTATTACGAATCGACGTTACGTACAATTCCTTTCATGTACCAAACTAGCAGGCATATACGTATGATTCGAAGCCAATTACACGATACTATTTTATGGGGCACGATTTTCGAAATAACGCCAATGCCTGTAATTCTGAGAATTTACGGTATTAGCTTCGTTATCTTCCATTGCCTTAGAATCCCATCGAATTTTTCATGTAAAGAATTTCATATATCATTCTCCTGATGTAAACTGGTAAACACACCTGGAAACTAAACAAAGCATGACAGACGTTAAAAATTAATTTTAACAATCAAAAATTCCGCTATTCATTGCTAAAAATAATATAATTATCAAAATAAATTTTGATCTTAATGTAATTCTAATAGTAGTTTATTCTACAATTTCTATATTAAATCGCGATTTGATAAACGATCGTTTGTTTTACAAGTGTTTTTTTTTTTTTGTGGTAACAGCATCATTCATAAATTTCGTAATCAAGTTTCTTTTTCATCAGTTCAAAGACCAGAAATCCCACGCTGGTTGCAGGCATGGCTCTTAATACAGTAGCTCCAAAATCACCGTATAAGAAATGAATCCAACCAGTTCTTAAAGCTCTCAATTTACATTGTTCCCATGTAAGCTTATAAAGTTTTGGTTTTTGCTCGTGTTGATATTCTGATTGTGCTTCTTCTATTAAAAAAACATTTCGAATTCTATCAAGTGGGTAATCAATGACATGATATGATATAGCTGCTAAACCTCCTGCAATTAAGATGAAAGCAGGTTCAATGAAATGTTTATTATCTTGATCGTGATTTTGATGTTTTATCACACGATAATTATCCATTTTATTGATGAAAGCATCATAACATTGTCTTTTTACAAATTCAAATACTCCAAAAAAGAGACCACAAGATAAAGAATCCTAGAATTAAAATATTATAAAAATTTACAATTAAATATCTGTTATTTTAATAGACTTTGACAATAAATGAAATATTGTATTTACCTTTACGAGTGTCAATCCAATTCCTCGATATATGCTAGTAAGTCCTAACTCTTTCCATGTTGTCTTAGCATAATCATACATACTTTTATGTTTACCTTCTAATAAATCATTGACCTCAAACCTAACTTTGAGCGAATCAAGAGGTGCCGCTACTAAAGATTGTGCTGCACCTGCTATAGCACCAGAACAAAATACGGTATAAAATGGTGGATGATGATGTTGTGAACCAGCTATTAAGGTGGAATGAAATTGTGAAAGAGTAGTAACATAAGCTGTAAATAGAACCGCGCCTATTACGGTATTTGCTACAAAAGGTGGAATGATATGCCGATGAATGAAAGAAAACTAGGAAAAGATAATATACACAAATCAATTCAAAATGTAACAACGGTGATTTATTCCTATTAAATATATGCAATAAATCAGGTATTCTGTGTAAAAGTAATATATTTTTGTATTATAAAGCTTATTTTGAATGATATTTACCCCATGAAGTTTTACTGCATTAGAAATCATACCAATGCTAGTATGATGAAAGGAAAACTTTTTTTTTGTAGCTTCAGAAGGTGGTGGCATAATCGAGGAATTGGATTGACACTCGTAAAGGTAAATACAATATTTCATTTATTGTCAAAGTCTATT